CAGTCTCAAGCTGCTGCCCTGGGTAGAGTACCATGGCGTCATAGCTCACAGCAACCTCCAACTCAGGCTCAAGCAATCCTCTTGCCTCCGTTTTTCTATTTTTAGTAGAGATGGGGTCTCACTCTTGCTCAGGCTGGTCTTGAATTCATGAGCTCAAGCAATCCACCTGCCTCAGCCTCCCAGAGTGCTAGGATTACAGGCGTGAGCCACTGCGCCTGGCTCAAGACAGTATTGCATAAAGATTAATTTCCTAGGCTCTGAAATAAGACAGATCTGGGATAAATTTCTGGTTTTTTTTTTTTTTTTTCTCAAGACAGGATTTCACTTTGTCACTCAGGTTGGAGTGTAGTGGCACAATCACAATTCACTGTAAACTTGAACTCCTGGGCTCAAGAGATCCTCCCACTTCATTGTCCCAAATAGGTGGAACTACACAGGCACAAGGCACTGGGGCCAGCCAGCTGTGTTGCCAAAGCTAGTCTTGAACTTCTGGCCTCAAGGGCTCATTCCGCCTTGGCCTCCCAAGGTACAGAGATTACAAGCATCAGCCCCGGTGCCCACCAGATGTGAGTTAAATGTCATCTTTCTGTCTGAACAGCTGAGTGAGTTTTCACCAATTACTTTTATTTTTTTCTTATTGTTGGGGAGTCATTGAGGGTACACAGAACCAGGTTACACTGATTGCTTCTGTTAGATAAGGACCCTCTTGTCTTTGTGTCCCGCCTCTAAAAGGTGAAACACATCCCTTGACCCCCCCACCCTCTCTCCTTCCCTTTCTCAGCTCCCCATCCCCTACCCCCCCCCACCACCACCAATTACTTAACCTCTCAGACCTTTAGTTTCCACGTCTGTAAGTCTGGGATCATAGCTGCAGCTACCTCAGGGTAGTTGAGGTATGGGTTTTTTTTTGTTTTTGTTTTTGTTTTTTGCAGTTTTTGGCTGGGGCAGGTTTGAACCCACTATCTCTGGTATATGGGGCCGGCACCCTACTGCTTGAGCCACAGGCACTGCCCGGTTGTTTTTTGTTTTTTTTTTTTTTAATGAGAAGGAAACAAGATAATGTTGATGCTTCCTTGACACCCACCCAGATTATCACAGTTATAATTAAATATCATTAGAGTAATTAATGTTTTAATGCCTGCTCTCTAAGGTAACTTTTTCTTTTTTTTGAGACATAGTCTTACTATGTCACCCTCAGTAGAGTGCTGTGGCATCACAGCTCACAGCAACCTCAAACTCTTGGGTTTAAGATTCTCTTGCCTTAGCGTCCCGAGTAGCTGGAACTACAGGCGCACGCCACAATGCCCAGCTATTTTTTTGTTATAGTTGTCATTGTTGTTTGGCAGGCCCAGGTCAAGTTTGAACCTGCCAGCCTCCGTGAATGTAGCTGACGCCCTAACCACTGAGCTATGGAGGCCGAGCCACAAAGAGAACTTCTAATGTCCTAGGAAATAAGCCCCACTAAAGTATGCAGCATTAGCTTGCATTCCCAGCATCCAGCATGCTGCTCCGCACACAGGAAGCGCTCGAGGAATATTTGACTGAATGTATAAAAATCTTATACAGGTAGTCAGGGGCAGCTCCAACCACAGGAAGGTTTCTGAATTTAGTCCTGGCACAGGGAAAAGGCCTAAGCAGCATGGCCTTGGCTTCAGTTGCCACAGCACGGCTGCCATGTCTAATTATGAATACAGTCGTCCCTTAGTACCTGCAGGGCATTGATTTCAGGACCCCAGAGATACCAAAAGCTGTGATGCTCAAGTCCCTTGTCTAAAAGGGCATAGTCCTTACACATCCTACTCAGGTCCACCTGTATGCTTTATATCATCCCTGGATTACTTATCATACCTAATGCGCGCAATGTACATGCTGGGTAGATAGTTACTCTACTGTATATTTTTTTAAATTTGTAATTGTTTTGTTTTTCCAAATATTTCAATCCACAACTGATTGAACCTGAGGACGTGAAACTGGGGGCTATGGAGGCTCATCCGTATTGTATTCCACACCAAAATACCAGGGGAGAGCGGGGACTGAAATCTGAGCCATGGACCTGGGGTTGTGGGTAGAGGTTAAAATGCACAGCATATCTGGAAAAAAAAAAGAAAAGGATACACAGGGTATCTATCATTCTGGAGGTAGAAATGCCTTTTGGTAATTCGCACAAAGGTACCACCGTGTAAGCTAACAGTGGTCTCGTGTCACAGAATCAATCCTCACACCTCAAGAACATTAAATCCCAAGAGAATACATTAAGAGCTTAAGGCTGGGTGTGGAATAGAACCAGATGGAAAGCTCTCCAATTTAATGGCATTATTTACCTTATCCGAGCAAACAAGCTGGCCTTATTTACCACTCCCGTCTCCCCCAAAGTGTGCTCTCTCTCTGATGTCTCATCTGAACCTTTAGGTGGGGCTGAGGGCAAGACTGTTTTTTCCACTGGAGGACATGAGTCAGTGAACAGTGAGGTTCCACTTAATCACCACGCAAAAAAACAAAATCCTTGCAATCAGGAGCTAGAAAAGCAAGGAAGAGATTGATATAAAAATCAGGATATTGATTGTCCCTTAGGCAGGGAAGGACAGGGAATAGGCGTGGGGAGGGGATTGATGGGGAAAGGGTCTTCTGAAGTCTGACAGTGCTGTTTCTTGACTTGGGTGATGGTTGCACTGGTGGTGGTTTCTTTGTATTTAGACTTACATGTCTTATGTACTTTTCTAATTATGAATTATAGTTGACAGTTTAAAACAGTTAAAAAATACAAACTATTGCCTGGTGAGGTGGCTCACGCCTATAATCCCAACACTCTGGGAGGTGGAGACGGATGGATTGCCTGAGCTCCGGAGTTCAAAACCAACCTGATCCAGAGTGAGACCTCATCTCTAAAAATAGCCAGGCATTGTGGTGGGCGCCTGTAGTGCCAGCTATTTGGGAGGCTGAGGCAAGAGAATCGTTTGAGCCCAAGAGTTCAAGGTTGCTGTGAACTGTGATGCCACAGCACTCTACTGAGGGTGACAAAGTGAGACTCTGTCTCAAAAAAGAAAAAAAGTACAAACTATAAGAGATTTTTAGGCAGGGAAAAAAAATGACCAGACTTTTATTATTAAATGATCGTTCAGGTGTTGAACTGAAAATTGATTTAAGGTAGGACAATGCTGGAGGCAGAGAAACCAGTGAGGAGGTAGCTGCTATATTTTGGTGAGAGATTATAATTACCCAAGGTAAGAAAAGATAAAGTATTAGAGATGGAGTATACATTATTTTAAAAAACAACCAAAATAAGACAGAGGCTGGCACTGCCCCTCCATTTACTTTTTACCTGTACATCTTGGGTGACTTTGGCTTAAAAATTATCGTCCAGGGGCAGGCATACATCCAAACAGGCACATGGGCTAAGATTCCCTCCTTGCTGTTACCGCCCTGGTAACTATCCAGAGAGGCTCAGGCTGCCTGACTAGAGCCAGCGAGCACATTTTTCATGACAACACAGGATTATCCAGGTTGAGCTAACATAGGGGTTCTTGTGATAATATCTAATCACTTGATCATAATATTTTATTAGTCAAGACTTTCCAAATATTTTCACATGTACTGCCTGGCACAGAATGTTAGCTCTACAATGGCAAAGGTTTCTGTTCTTTTTGGTCACTACTATATCTTCAGTGCTTCGAATGGCCCTTGATACATAGTAGGTGCTCAATAAATAGTATTGAATAAGTGACCATATTTAATAATTATTATCAATATTTAATCATCACAACAATCCTGTGAGCATAGGTAGGATGTAAATTATTATCTCCATTTTGTAAGTTAGAAAACAAAGCTGGGCACAGTGGCTTACTCCCAGCCACTTGGAAGGCTAAGGAGGGAGGATCCCTTGAGCCCAGGAGTTCAAGACCAGCCTAGGTAACATAGCAAGACTTTGTCTCTAAAAAAACGAACAAAAAATAAAAAAACAGACTTCAGGAGATCAAGGAACATGTCAAATAGTTGATAATTTGGTAACAGAATCATGATTTAATTTCAGGTTTTATACTTGAATTCCCTTGGTTTTTTACAACTGAAAGGCTAGAGTTTAAAGTTATTATAGCTCTGAAATACCAGCTTCTAAAATACACGATAGGTTCTGTTAAATACCCGATGTTATCTGATGTGCCTATGAGGCGCTTCACCAGCTTGCCAGGTGAATGAGGCCTACCCAGCTGCCATCGCATCAGGACCGCAGTTCCCTTAAGGAGATGCCTTGTTTCTCTGGGTAATCAAATCTACTTGACGTGTTTCTCTCCATGACCCTGACAGTCTCTACTCTGCACCCTAGCCATTGCGCTTCTCCAAGTTAAAGAAACCCTGTTATTGCAAAAACACCTTGCAGTACTTCCAATAAGAAAAAAAGGAAAGAGAGAAGGAAGAAATGGGGCAGTGTAACACTTAACCACTAGAGAAGAAAGAAAGAAGAGGAAGAAGAGGAGGGGGGAGAAGAGAAGCGAAAAAAGAAAACAAAAGAGAAGAAAAAGAAGAAAAGAAAAGAAAAAAGAAAACCGTGAGTAGGTTTGGTGCCCTTCAGAAAATTTTGTTATCCAAATGGAATCCCATGGCGGAGCTCAAAACTCATGTACCATGAAAAATTAATCTTGGCCTCTTTCTTCTTAATACTAATTAAAATTAATAGTTTGAGGCATAAACTCAGATACCTGGAGAACTCAGGGTTGTTAAATTGATGTTAGTATTCATAAATCCGGAGTTGTGTATGTCTTCTATAGGATTCCTACCCAAACTCCAAGAATTAGAATTCACAAACAAAATATTAAACCTTAAGGGAATTTCTAAAATACACACAAACCAAAGAAGCCATACTTTTTAGGTTGCCTTCTTCCCTTCTTTCTCTCCAAAATCTGATATTTATTTCATACGGGGAGCAGCTTGGTCTAGGCAAGCTGGACTACCACAGTGAGTTAAATAGCGTATGGAACCACCCTGAGAGTGACACACATAGGACTCACCAGAAATTCATTGGAAAGCTGCTCTTTGTTACTTTTCTTGTTTTGGGCCTCATCCAGGAACTTCTGCAGGATTTCTCTCTGCTCCATGCTGCAAAGCAAGAGAAACCGTCTACGAGGAGGTTGAGGGAGGGCATGTCAAATGTGTGTCATGGCCGAGACTACGGAGGAGCCACCGTTGCCGCCTAAGCAGAGCATGCTAAGGGCTGTGGTTAACTGACTTCATCGCAAGCCCTGGAGGAAATTAGTATGCAACCAGCCTCTGTGGTCACACAACAAAGTCATCACCTTACTCCAGGGCCCTAGTGCCTTCCTTCTTAACAAAGGAACCTGGTTGCAATTCAAGTTTTTAACAAGTAAGAGGCTAAGCAACACGTAAAATGTGGTCTGCTTCGCTCGGAGACTATTCCACTCCATGGCCCTTAAGCAAAATTCACCTTTCTTCTTGCTTCTCAGAAAAAAACGCAGAATTACAGTTTTCGTAGATAAATTCCGCCTCTCCTCATTTCTCTGATGAGCAGCAAGTCCCAGTCAATATCTCCTCTGTTCCTCATGTCCTAACTCTGCAAAGTTCAGTTAGGTCCAGAAAAGGAGCCAGGTCCTGTCTGGAGTTACACCTCTTCTACAAGGACCCTTCACCCAAAAGTGGCTTGTCAGTGTCCTCAGTGGCAAATTTCTGTTCATCAGAGAAGACACTTTTATTTAGAAATGTAAAGTCTGCCATAGGGACCTCAAACTCTCTTTTGGATGAAACAAAGTCAGCTGCTTCTGACAGTCGGAGTCTTTCCCAGGGCTGGGGAAGTGCTGACCTACATTAAGGGAAGTGTTGATTTCAGCGCCTCTAAAACCCACCAGAAGCTTTTGGAGGGTCCCTTGGGTTCTGGATATAAAAAATGAGAGTGATGGTCTATACAGGATGAGGAGCAAGTGGCCCCCACCAAGAGCGCCCAACCGGGTAGTTAGTACGTGGCCCCATATGTAATGCTAAACTGTGAGCAAAAAGAAAGTAAAATCAACCACCTGCTGACAACTGTGTAATTTTTAGGGCAGAAACCCGAAGAAGTGTTTCCAGAGAAGACGTCTCTACTCTGCAACCAATGTCTTGGAAAAGACATTGTTTCAGGCAGCTGTGCTATACCTGTTGCCTTTTGATCCCGAGGGATAAAAAAGCTTCCTTTTAAAAAAAAAAAAAGCTTCCTCAGCTTGTGTAATTTCTCTTCTCAATGGGTAGGAATCTCCCCAAATGTCTGGTTCTGTGTGAGAACATCCCCAAAATGAGCGTATCACTTGTTTGAGGGCAGAAGTTCAGTACATTATGTGTTAACAAATTAGTCTTCAACAATACTGCAGAAAACTGGGAATTGTGTTATTAGTACTTCCTCTTCACAATATTAGCAATCCTTTCAGGTTTGCGACATCATTCAAACTTGGCTCAGGAGTTTGGGAGATTCAGGAAATGATTCCGAACACTATCCTGAACATTGAAGAGGTTGCACCCTCCTCACTGAACTCTACAATGAGAAAGGAGAGATCATTGAAGCATCTTGGTTATGGGCAGCTGAAAGACAGTCTTCCAAATAAATTCCAGTCCATATAAATTTGTCAGCAATATTTTTGGGGAATAGGCTATTTCTCAAATTTTCCCCATCTAACATTAAAGGAAACTTTCTTGCTTCTCTAAATAATACAATGTTTTATTTTCACTATTTTGAAACATAATATGTGGGAAAGCTTTACATTTAGAAAAATACAAAATTTCAAATTTATGACCAGGCTCAGTGGCTCACCCCTATAATCCTTGCACTCTGGGAGGCTGAGGCAGGTAGATCACTTGAGCTCAGGACTTCAAGACCAACCTTAGCAAGAGACTACCCCGTCTATACTAAAAATAGAAAAACTAGCTGGGCATGGTGGCACATGACTGTAGTCCCAGCTACTTTGGAAGCTGAGGCAAGAGGATCACTTGAGCCCAAGGGTTTGAGGTTGCTGTGAGCTATGAAGACACCGTGGCACTCTACCCAGGGCAACTGAATAAGACTCTGTCTCAAAAAATAATTTTTTTTCTAATTTACAATAAATACTATGTAAAATATTTACATAGTTAAACAAAGACAAAAAGATCCCCCCCCCAAAAAAATCAGTTGTAGGAGTGTGATAGGATTATGGATGCTTTAAAAAGTTATTTTTAATAAAGACAAAAAAATTCATTAATTTGTTCACCAGATTTATTGAGTACCCACTTCATGCTAAGCACTATGTTAGGACCTGGTATATAGTAGTGAGAAAACCAGGATATGGTGAAAAACACCCTTAATGAGTTAATTAAATATCTCAGAATTAAAGACAGAGACTTGATTACTGATAAAAATAAAACATTCCAAACCAACCGGCTTACCTGTAGAGTAGCAAAGCATGATCCTAAAAGGAAAATTATTTTCTATGTTTGGACAAATAAGAAAGAGTTTCATAATCTCTCCCCTTAGAATGTCCTCATATCCATCAAACCCAGAACTCTATTAATTTTTTATTAATTAGGCAAAAAGGGACATAATAAAATAAAACTTAGATCTGTTTGTCTCAAGCTCATATGTAGGAACTTTTCTCACCAACTTTCTTGTTTCTTCTTAGAGAGTGAAGAAATTTAAATAAATATGAGGGCGGGCACGGGGGCTCATCCTAGCACTCTGGTAGGCAGAGGCAGGTGGATCGGGTGAGCTCACCAGTTTGAGACCAGCCTGAGCAAGAGTGAGACCCGCATCTCTACTAAAAACGAAAAATTGAGACAAGATGCTTGCTTGAGCCCAAGAGTTCAAGGTTGTTGTGAGCTATGACACCCTGGCACTCTCCTGAGGGCAACAAAATGAGACTCTGTCTCAAACAATAAATAAATAAAGTAAATATCAGATAAGAAAGACAAATTGCTTAGATGCCTCCGTAAACCTTTTACCCACGATCCAAGGATCCACAGTGTCTTGGCAAGAACTGCAGACTTAAAAAAAAAAACTAAAAGCAGCAACTCTTAGGAGTCTTTTTTCACTGTAAAACCAAGACGTAGAGAGACAATGTGAACTAGCCAAACCTCAAAAACCCACTTAGCAACAAGGCCATTTCCTGTGTAGACCACTCAAGAATGGAAAAAAAAGCAAACTGAAGGAGAAAACAAAAAAAATTGGCTTTACGTTTAACAAATGTAAGCTACTACTTGATTTAGCACACTTCCTTCTACATTTATTAGAGGGAAATAGGAACGTAATGGTTTCCAGTGAAGATGGTGTCGACTCATTCGTATCCGGTGGGAAGATCAAGAGCCGGGGAAGGGAAACAAGGTAGGCAGCGAAGGCTGGCAAATACCGAAAAGAGTTTAGGAATTTACAATGAAACATGTAAGTGAATCTGGCCTCAAACCTGAGCGAATGCAACAATATCACACAAGAGAAGTCTCATAAACACTTTGTGGAAACCACCCAGGGTGAGCACCTGAAGAGTGACAAGGTGCCACACCTTGCTGCGGCCTCCCGTGGCCACAGTGTTCAGAAGGAAGACTCCAATGGAGGGGAGTGCCAGTCACAGTGTCACCTGCCCCAACAGGAGGGAAGCGTGCCAGGTTAAAGGGTAATATCAGTGTCATGGATGGAAGGAATTAGATCACAAAAAATTTTATTCAAAGAGAACTTCAGGGTCCTGGGTCCGGGGGCTCACGCCTGTAATCCTAGCACTCTGGAAGGTCGAGGCAGTTGGATGGCCTGAGCTCGGGAGTTCAAGAGCAGGCTGAGCAAGAACAAGACCCCGTCTCTACAAAAATAGAAAAACTAGCCGGCCGTCGTGGTGGCCTGTAGTCCCAGCTACTCAAGAGGCTGAGGCAAGAGGATGACGTGAGCCCAAGGGTCAACTTAGAGCTCTCATAGCTGAGCGCTGAGAGCTATGACACCTGGGCACTCTAGCCTGGGGCAACAGAGTGAAACTCTTCTAACTCCAAAAAAAGAGAGAGAGAGAATTTCAGGGGAGATTATTAGGGCAAGATAAACTAGTCAGTAGGAACAACACTCAGATTTCTCCTACCATCCTTCTGTTTCTTTGAGGAGATGTATTTTTTGCCCTAGGAAATCCACTTATTAATAAGGCTCGACTTTCATCTCTCTTGCCTCTCACTATATCCCCATGTCATTGATTTGATGTGGGTTATGCACGTTGTCTGTGAAACAGTCTTAGTAAGCATTCTCCTGGTCCCAAAACACCTATTGGTCATTTCTCCTCAAGGTATTTTTAGATTCGACCTGTCTTGTCCATATATACCTAACTGCCATTCTCATTTTCACGAACTGGATTCCTGCAGCAATTAAGCTGTTGGATATCTTCCAGTCTAGTATTTCCTGGTAACCAAGACTTGATGAAAGTTCTTACAACTGTACTTTAAGGCTAAAGAATGAAAATAATTACTGATAAGCTAGAGGAACAAGTCCGTCTTCCTTAGCGTGTCCCCATCAACTGTCGCCACCCAACCTATCCAACCATATCACCCACAGACCTAGTTCATTTTACGGCTTCTTTTTCTACTTCTCATCTTTACTCTAATTTTCCCCAAGATGAAAATGAAGCCAGAAAGCCCAATAACTTTTCTTCAAAAATCTTGCCCCTAATTCCATCTCATCACGATCGTGTCTTTGTCTGAATCTCTTCAGTCTAAATCTTTATATTCAGCTAAAGTTTTCTTCATGTATTCACACATTCCTTGTCTCCTATAAGTTTATTTAAACTTTCTTCAGAAGAAGGCACATTAAGATGCGACCTGTCATTTCGGGTTTATCAAAGGCAATGGTAGCATCTTCTATGCATTGGTGTAACCACAGTGATTATATGGTCTTGAGTGTACCTAAGGTAAGCCTGTGTGATGAAGGGGGCTAGCTGATGGGATTAGGCTTTGGTGAGAGATCTGCTCTATCAGTTACCCCAGGTAACTTGCCTGGCATAGTCCCTGGCTAGGCTCTTCCACGATGCCAGGAGCAGATGGGCCTTCCTTACAGGAGGTATAAGAACCTGGCAAAAGGCACTTTGTAATGCTGCTGCCCAAACAACAGGGTTATGACCCTGAAAGGACCCTGTCACTGAGGTACAGAGTCCCACTCTGAATGACTGCAATGCCAGAACGAAATTACTTCCTTTAT